AACGGTATAAACCGGTTTGACAACCTTGCTTGTCCATCATCTCAAGTGACGATTGACATCATATATATAGAGTTTTGTCTTCACTGCACTCACTTTTTTGGGTGCATTCAATACACTTGTCTCATAATCGTCATTTTGAGATAAAGATTCATGTCAAAATGACGTCAATCGTCACTTGTGATATAATGATGAACATGAAACTCCATCAATTTACGAAAAATATTCAAGATTACTTTAATTTGAAGGATTTATGGACTAAGGGTTAGGTTTAGGGTTCAAAATTTGGGGATTAGTATTGGTGTTCCAAATTAAAGGTTTAGGTGTTAGGGTACTTTAGAAGTGTGATTCTTTATTATATTATCATATATATTATACTGATGCTATAAGTTAAAGTTTAAAATTCTATGTCTTATGGCTACTTCAGAATTGAATGTAAAAAAAAAAGAGTGCACAAACGCAGTGGATGACCCAGGATTGTCGGAGAGGTGTGTCGCCGATAAAAATTAAATAAAAAATTAATTAAAAATTATTATAAATTAATTTATAAAGTTCACAATGTCATGTTTACAATGAATCAAAATGACTTTTCATCTACTTAAATGTCTCTAAAATACATTCATCACTTATGCTGCAAAACAAATCTTTTTCAAATATACACAACAATCATTCATAAATTTGTCACCCAACCGGTTTCGAAGATCGTTCTTGATTATCTTCATAGCTAAAAATGCTCTTTCGCAGCTTGCATTTCAACATATAAAGTCATACCAACTTCAAAAGCAAGTATTCTGGTGAGTCTCGACAGTTTCCGCTTGGGCTTTGGTAATTTTTTTGTTTCTCCATTAATGAAAGGACTCATCCCAGCACACATGTATATTGGTATGGTCTGTGGGTTTTTTTTAATAGCAATTGATATGATTATGAGTTATTTTAAACAAATTAAAAATGAATTTTGTTAATTAGAATTTAAGATTGATTCATTTAAATAATAAAATATTTCCAGTCTAATGAAGGTGTGCCGGCTATAATTATCGAAGGGTTGTCGGAAGTCCGGAACTTAAAATTTTTGTACCGAAAATATCTAGGTCCTTCACAAAATTCTCGGGCGAGGGTGTGTCGGACGACACACCCTGCCTTGCCTTGGGTCCGCCACTGCACAAACGGATTGAATCAACAATAATATAGCAAGGTCCGACAACAATTAAACTAATAATAATTTAAAAAAAAATAAAAATAAACTAATAATAATAACAAATCATAACATAAACAAACAGTCAAGAAGGCGCAAAAAAGGAGATTCCTTTCAGCAAGAAGGCGCGGAAGGAACTTCGAACTCGGCTCGGGCAATCCGTGAACTCCAAGATGTTATTCAAACGGAACGAAATAAACCTATTATTGATTGGACGATTATCTCTGTTTTTGAGCAACAATTATCTGAAGCTTTTTTGCAGGAAGAACTGTATTGGCATAAAAAATCTCGAGTTCATTATTTAACAGAAGGAGATTCCAATACTCGCTTCTTTCATCTTACAACTTTGCAGCGTAGGAGGAAGAATATGATTTTGCTCCTTCGAGACGATGACAGGATGGCTCACTCTGACGACTTGGACATGGGTGGTATTGCAGTTCAGTATTTTGTTCATCTTTTTCTATCTGAAGCTGTCCCTTGCTTTGACTTTGTAGCCAATATGTTACTTCCGGGATTGATTTTGCTATCGATGAATGCCTCCCTTATTGCTCCAGTTTCCCGGGAGGACATTCGATTAGAAACTTTCAGTGTTGGTAGACTCCAAGCTCCAGGTTCTGATGGGTTTACATGTATCTTTTTTCAGCATTACTGGCATTTAGTGGGAAATTCACTTGTTGCAGCTGTGCAGGAATTTTTCCATACTGGGCATCTCCTCCCTAATTTTAATCACACTTGGATCTCATTGCTTCCGAAGGTCCCTGGTGTTGAAACTATGCGTCAAATGCGGCCAATTGCTTTATGCCAGGTAGTTTACAAAATAATCTCCAAAGTTCTCACTCGTAGACTACGCGAGGTTCTTCCTTCTATCGTTGGTCCCTATCAGAATGGGTTTGTTAAAGGACGTCTAATCTCGGATAATATTTTGTTGGGTCAGGAAGTATTACAATTTCTGAAGAACAAATCCTTGGGTAGCGATAAGTGGATGACTTTGAAATTAGACATGGAAAAGTCTATGACCGTGTTGAGTGGAATTTTCTGTTTGCTATCATGTCTAAACTTGGTTTCTGTCCCCAGTGGCTTGATTGGTTGTGGTCGTGTGTTTCATCAGTATCTTTCTCTGTACCTATCAATGGCTCTCCCCATGGTTACTTTCATCCTGAGTGAGGATTGCGTCAAGGCGATCCTCTCTCTCCTTTGCTGTTTGCGCTCTATACGGAAGGTTTTTCTAGTGTTATTAATCAAGCCATTCACTCTGACTTGATGCATGAATTGAAGGTGCACTGTCGGTGCCCTATGATTTCTCACCTATTCTTTGCAGACGATTCATATTTGTTCCTCCGGGCCTCCCCTTTGGAATGTCATAATCTCCTTCATATTCTTAATTCTTACCAGCAGGTGAGTGGTCAGAAGGTCAGTCTTCAGAAATCCACTGTTACCTTTAGTAATAATGTTTCTGCAGATGAAGCCTCAACTATTATCTCTCTGCTTGGCGTGGCAATCAGTGGTCCCCAAGATCGTTACCTGGGACTTCTGATGCACGTTTTGCATTCTAAGCAGGATACGTTTCGTTTTGTTGAGGAAGGCCTGGTTAATTGGATTCAAGGATGGAAATCGAAGTATATGTCATTAGCGGCAAAGGAAATCGTGATTAAATCTGTGGCTTTGGCCCAACCGATTTACACGATGTCGTGTTTTCGAATTCCTTCGCTTTTTTGTAGGCGTTTGAATGGGCATCTTGCTCGCTTTTGGTGGAGTCAACATGATAGAGAAAGCGGCATGAGATGGACCTCTTGGCGTGCTTTATGTCGCCATAAATCAGTGGGGGGGCTTGGCTTTCGTGATTTAGACTCCAATAACATTGCATTGCTTTCCAAACAAGCCTGGAGGATCGTCCAGGATCCAAATAGCCTCTTAGCTACCACATACAAAGGCAGGTATATTCCTAACTCCTCTTTTCTTCATGCTACTGCTGGTACGCGCCCTTCATGGGCATGGCATGGTGTTCTTTTGGGCAGTGATCTTTTGGTCCAAGGTCTTCGTTGGTTAATTGGTTGTGGAATTTCGGTTCACATTACGAATGATGTTTGGCTTCCCACCACCCCTCCTTCTAGGCCGATTCTGCTTCATGGGGTTGTCTTACTTGACTCATTTGTTTCTTGCCTAATAAATCATGGTCAAGGTTCTTGGAAGGAGAACGTTCTTTCATACCTCTTTGATACTGCCACTGTCTAGATCATCATGGCTATTCCTCTGCCGATTTTTCCTGTGGCTGACCACTTGATTTGGCATTATGAAGTTTCAGGTGAATATTCTGTGAAATCTGGTTATCGTTTAGCTGCGGTTGAGTACATTGCTGATTTTTCCACGATTCCATCGTCCTTTGACTCCCGCTCTTGGAAGTTTCTTTGGTCACTTCCTGTTCCCCCAAAGCTTAAATTTTTCCTTTGGCGCGTGGTTAAAGGGTTTCTCCCTGTTCGAGATGTGCTTCGTGATAAGGAATTGATAGCTGATGATGATATTGAGGCTTACGCTTGTCCTGTCTGTGGTGGTGAGGCAGAGACTCTTGCTCATTGTTTTTTGGATTGTCGAATTGCTTTGGAGTTGTGGGATTTGTTGGGGTTCAATCATATTCTTGCTCAAATTCGCTTGTGCCATGTTGCGATAGGTTGGCGTAGGCTATTTTTTTATGCAGATTTATCCAAAGTAGAGATTTCACGGTTGGTTTTTCTGTACTGGAGGCTCTGAAAGTCCAGATGTTCGGCTACTTATGATGGTATTCAGTATCTCTCTCATGTTTTATTACGACATTATTACTCTCAGGTTGCTGAATGGGAGCTAGCACAGGCTCATCCGGAGAGATCTTTGCCTCGCTGTTCTCCTGTTTCTAGTGGGGTTTTACCTCGTGATCACCCCCTCCTTCCATACCTCCTGGTTCAGTGTTGGTTCACTTTGATGGTGCCACCAAATCTTTGGTCGGATGTGCCATTGGTTTTGTTGGCTTTATAGAGGCTAATAACTCTATATTTGCTTGGGGGCGTTTTATTCCTAATATTGATGACCCATTTATCGCAGAGCTCCTGGCCCTTCGCGACTCCTTACGTTGGTGCATGGCTCACTCGATCACTAATGTTTTGTTTTGTGGGGATGCGCATGTGATCGTTCGGATGATTAATGTGAAGGACTCGGCGCACGCGGTGGGCGGAGCTCTCCTGCAAGAGATTCATGTGTTGTGAGCTTCTTTCCTTCGTGCAACGTTCCATTTCGCTCCCCGTAGGTATAATAGGGATGCCCATTTCGTGGCAAGACAAGCCCTTGGAGCGATGGTGCAGACACTTGTCGACCATCGTATTTTAATTATTTAATTTTTCTAGCCTGGTCTTAGGAGGCCTTGTATTTTGTCGTATCTTTGCTAATTCCCTCTCGGGATAACTTTGGAAAAAAAAAAGGCGCGGAAGTAAACAAAATCGAGAAGATCGTATCATCGTAAACCCTAAATCTTTTACCCCTAGGCCCTAAGCTAGTTGTCGTGCCTTATCCTGGATAATAATAATCTCCGTTAAATTTCTGCCATGCGTGACATCTCTGTTAGTTTATAATAATACATGTACCATTATGTAAATTCCCATAGCCGATTAGGTTAGGGTTTCTGGAGAAACCTATATATGTGCCTTGTACACTTGATGAAAAGGTAACGAAATAAGATCATAAAACCTGAGAGGGAGATCCTCTCCATGGACTAGGGTCATATTGACGATACCACGTTAAAAAACCTCGGTGTTCTTGCTTGTTCTTTTGATTATTTGACATGGTATCAGAGCCTGCGATCTGAGATCTGTTGATCGTATTTCGCTAGTAATTCATCCACACCTGGCCCTTCGGCACACACTGCAGGGTCTGCTGATACAGGAGCTTCAGCATCTTCACCATCCGCTGCTACGATGGCGGACTTCTCACCTGCTCGCACTAGCTCCTCGTCGCCAGCAAGCTCTCCTTCCGCAGTTGACCGTTCGAGCATGGGTTCTCAACATGAGCTGGGACTTGAACTGGGAACACCGCCTCCCCTGCCACAGCCAAGACGGTCTAATCGAACGACGTTGGGACAGCCGCCTAAGCATTTAGAAGATTATGACGTTGGCTTCTCGACAGAACCGATCCTGATCCCTAGTCATTATCGTTATGCTCAAGGAAATATTTTTTGGGACACGGAAATGAAGGAAGAGCTGCATGCTCTAGAAGAAAATAATACATGGGATCTGGTTCCACGTGTTCCAGGTATGTCAGTAATCGGTTGTCGCTGGGTGTATACGGTCAAGATGAAACCAGATGGTACTTTGGATAGGTACAAGGCGAGATTGGTAGCACAAGGTTTTAGACAAGAACATGGGATAGACTACGATGAGACTTTTGGCCCAGTAGTCAAGATGCAGACTGTTCGAAGTGTGTTAGTTGTGGCAGAAATGAAGAAATGGAAGATTGTTCAGTTTGACGTTAAGAACGCTTTCCTTCATGGAGACTTGAAGGAAACAATATATATGGAGTGTCCAGATGGGTATACAGAAGGAGGACCCGGGATGGTTTATAAGCTACGACGTTCTCTATATGGTTTAAAGCAGGCACCGCGAGCTTGGTTCGAGAAGTTTCATAGTACCATAATTCAAGCTGGATTTGTGCAAAGTCAGAATGATCCCTCGATGTCCACCCGTCAGACCGTCCATGGTAACACAGTTCTTCTTTTGTATGTTGATGATATGATTGTGACAGGTAGTGACACGGAAGGTATTCAGGAATTGACTCAGTCATTACGAGCAGCCTTCAATCGCAAGGAACTAGGTGAAGCGTCCTACTTCCTGGGATTAGAGATACAAAGAAATGAAGCAGGATTATTCTTGAATCAACGAAAGTACATTAATGACTTATTGGAGGCGGCATAGTACACGGACTGCAGGCCAAGTTCGACACCCATGGAGCAGAATGTCAAGTTGAGCCGTGAAAAAGGAGTTTTATTGGAGGATCAGACCTTCTATCGTAGCGTAGTAGGCAGCTTGATTTATCTTACACATACTCGACCAGATATTGCTTATGCGGTTCAAGTAGTAAGTCAATTCATGGGAGTTGCGTGCACAACACACTTGGATGCAGTACATCGGTTACTGAGGTATTTGCAGCAAACCAAAGATGTAGGGTTGTTCTTTCCAGCTGATGGTGATTCGACTATAGAAGCTTTTGCATATGCAGATTACGCTGGTTGCTTGGATACCAGGAAATCCACATCAGGCTGGTGTATCAAGATAGGGAGGTCCTTTGTGTCGTGGAGATGCCGAAAGCAGGACAAAGTTTCGAAGTCATCTACAGAGGCAGAATACAGGTCAATGTCAGAAGTAAGTTCGGAGATGATTTGGCTTCAAAGACTTTTTCGAGAATTGGGATTTGAGTGTCAACTACCTATGAGGATCTATGGGGATAATACTAGCGCTATACAGATTGCAGTTAATCCGGTGCTGCATGATCGGACTAAACACATAGAGGTACATGTTCATTATATTAGACAACTTGTTGCAGAGGGAGTGGTCTAGCTTAGCTACTTATCTACAGAAGATCAGACTGCAGATTTGCTGACGAAAGCAGTAGGATCGAGCAGACACAAGTATCTATCAGCCAAATTGATGTTGAGGACCCAACATCAATTTGAGGGAGGGTGTTAGTTTATAATAATACATGTACCATTATGTAAATTCCCATAGCCGATTAGGTTAGGGTTTCTGGAGAAACCTATATATGTGCCTTGTACACTTGATGAAAAGGTAACGAAATAAGATCATAAAACCTGAGAGGGAGATCCTCTCCGTGGACTAAGGTCATATTTACGATACCACGTTAAAAAATCTCGGTGTTCTTGCTTGTTCTTTTGATTATTTGACAATCTCATCTCTCCTCCGCTTCCTATCCCGCGCTCTATCAATGAACCGCTCCTTCCAGTTCCAATTCGGTCCCTCGAACGGATGTAATGACAGCGGCGGCACCTCCCCGTCGCCAAACTCCTCGCGGAATTTCGTCGCCCACAGCTGGTAATCGCCGGAGGAGGATAGCCTCCGGAGGCTGCCACACACGCATTCCATCGCCGCTATCGTTGTCCCCGGCACCATAGCTATGATTGCGATCTTGAGTTCGTCCGGTAGGGTGGAGAAGGAGCTGAGGCGCCATGCTTAACTAAGACTTCAGCCAAACCTCCATGGTGGTTTTTTCTTTCTTTGGAATACGACCGACGAGAGAGCGTTCCTTATTTTGTAGAGGGGGAGACAACCTTGTTAACTAGACCGGATCCCTCACTGACATGGAAAGAAATTGCTTCTTTTTTGGTTGGTAATGTACAAAAGTAGTGCTATTGGCCTTGTTTCAAAATGTTAATTTTGATCCTTCATGGTTCATGGCTTTATTCCTAGATTATTTAATCTGACAGAATTGAGTTTGGAGGCAAGTCCTATGCATATGCTTGTAGGAATGTGCTGCCACCATCTTATCAATTGCTTCAGGAAATCCTTGTTGGGTAAATGTATATCTTTTCCTCAGGTTTGCTTGTTACTTGCAGGTGAAGCATTTGCACTGCTATGCTCTGGGAGATAAGGATTCTATTTGGGATGTAGATGCAGTAGAGCTCTGTTCCCACCAAGCAAGTAAGAAAGTTATTGGGAGTATGATATGATAGACGATTACAATGTAAAACCTGTCATTCTTTAGGTCAACTTGAATGTCTTGGTCTTCTATGTTTCTGCTTCTAAATGACTTCATCTATAACATGTGAATTTTACTCTTGGGTTTTCTCTCTTGAAGGATGATCTTTCTTATAAGTTCAATCTTCTACATGGTTTTTCGGGTTCATTTTTCAATTGGAAACTCAATTGCAGATTTTGTCTGTTTGAGCCTCGTTGTGGCATGTATGATATCAGAGGTTGGTACATTGAAACATTTGGTCAGGACAGAAAAGGTCACTGGTCACACAGTGACATCACCGAGATATTGGAATGGCTGTGATGGAAGTGAGCTAAATGACAAGTATGTCGATCTCCTAGTTAAAGGAATGTAGAAATCCCAACTTTAATTTCTGGGTGTGTTCCCACATTTCCATTCTCTACATTACTTGATGTATGTCCATATTTCCGATTGTGAATCTTTTTTTCCCCCCAACGAATGGCTGAATTAGAATACGGAAACATGAGTTTTTATTTCACTAAGCGCTAGTTACAAAATATTGGGATTAGAGGAAAACTGTGCCTCATTCCCCTCCTTTTACTTCAGGAGATCTTCCCATTTGCAGTATTGCCCACCAGCTAATGCTCGATAATATCTGTCTCTGCAGTACGCTGGTCTTCCATCAGCAGCTTTGGCAGCAGCTGCCGCTAAATCATCATCAGTCTTAACTTCTCCAGGTAATTGAAGCAGCTCCTCTTTTCTGCAACATGTATATAACAAAATGTTGGATGTTGTAAACCTATACATCTGTGAGTAACACTGTTAATCCTTGCGATAATACCTTAGGTTATATTTTCCATTGATTTCTGTTGCTGGATTGTCATATCGTCTTTCCCTCATGAGAAAGGTGGTCTGGAAGAAATCTTCTACTGGTGTAGCAAATATGAACAGTGACACACCTGCAACCAGTAACGCTCCCGTCCCCACCAGAGTTTGTTTCAGCATCTTGATGACGGGTTTAACCTGGAGGGGCACAGTTTTCTTCGTAAGGCCAGCATTTTTTGGTCAGAGCTTTAGCTTTTAGATGGTATTCATTTCTTACCTTGTAAGAGCCCAGTAGTCTATCACGAGCCAGAACCTGAAAATGTTTAGGAAAAGAATTGTTCCGTAATTACAGATTCCACTTACTCCATGAAGGGAACATCCACTCTACTGTCAAGTCTTTACGAAACAAAGATACCAGAGCCTGCATACAATATCTTTTTACCAAAATCTTGGAATGTCTTCCTCTGCTAACAGTAGTAAGTTAACTAACATGTGCACAAGGATTGATGCACTAACCTCCGGTGGCTTCGCCCACATCTGGCCGTCATACCATCCAGTCTCCTCATACGGTATCACAGCAGATAGAAGTCTGTCACCAACGTAACTCCATCCCTTTAGCAGGTATATTGCCACTGATTAATGTTAGTTTCTTTGTGAAGGTCATTTGCAGGAAAGAAGAAGGGAGTTCCATTGAGTTTTGTGGTTTAAGTTAATTATGTCATTTAATATATAGATGCACGTGTTGTCGTATCACAAAGAGTTATGCAGAATGTTATGGCCTGGCAGGATTATGAGAACCTTACCAGATAAATTCTTAAGACAATTAATGAAACGAGGAACAGCGTTCCTGTCCCGGCTGCCAGCGTGAACCTGAAGGGATCCTGTTTAAGATTAGGAAAAGAAATATGAGCTGAAATGAACACTAGTTATACCTTTTGCAAAAGCACTCGTTATATCTATTGAGAATTGTTTATGCGATGACTCTGTATCAATGAAACTAACCTTTGTTGGATCGAAACTTGCAGCTGCAATCGGACCTCCAAGAACAGTGAGAGTTGCCAGCCACAGGCCTCCAAGACGAAGGAAAAAGGGCCCCGTACCCAGCTCTGCCCACGAGTACAAGGTCGACTCTTTCAAGTTGGAGTATTCATTTACCTGCAGAGAAGCATCAGTTTTACGAACAGAACTGGCTTCTTGATACTGACTAACGTGCAGAACCATACTAGAGGAGACATACCGGCCTTTGCTCAAAAGGGACCCCGATTTCGGCGTCAGGTTGCCAGCTCTGACCAGGGAAGCTGCTCGTTCCCCCATCAGCACCGTCTTTCAAGGTGGCCTTGACGAAAATCCTGCCAAATGGCTTCTTCTGAGCCTTGTGGTACTTGATCAGCTGCAGCGACCTATACCGGCCGGTGCATCCTATGGCTTGAGCGAGGCGTTCGCCGGTGCATCCTATGGCTCCTCGCGGCGGCCGAGCGCAGTGGAGGCTTAGCTTGAGCATTTGGGTTTTTCCTTCTTCAGCTCGCTCAATCAGTACTCTGGCTGCAACAGAGTCCACTTGTTTTGTTCTTCATTCACATTCAGAGATCTTTTCCTCTCTAAAGGAATCTCAGCCTTGGAAGTGTGGGGCTCTCCTCATGGGGAGAAGACAAGAAAAGTGATGTGGGGTTTGCCACTTCCACGCGGCGTCGTTCATTGCTTTTCATTATTGGTGGGATTGGGCCAGCGAAGCAGAAGGGATCGAACTTTAAGTGGTGGCTTGTGGTTGGAGATGGCGGACAAACTGCGAACAACGTGGTTAAGTGTGTCAGGTTGTGGCGCTTGCGCGCAGTCTGTGGGTGCGCACCGCGCCTGTACGGGTTCAACCAGTGGAGAAACTGCGTCTCTGTGGACGTTTTGGCTTAAATAGATGTAGAACCGGTCCTAATCACTCAGTCGAACATAAGACTTTTCTCACGTTTAGTATGTACGGTCACAAATCTTTACATTTAGTACAAAATGGTTACAAACCTTTAATTTGTAATCATGATATTGTAACAAAAGTTTGAAATTGTATAAAATTGTTACTTTTATTTAATTTGTCATCGTTTTGTATCAAGTGCAGACTGCGAACGACGTGGTTAAGTGTGTCTGTCAGGTTGTGGCGCTTGTACGCAGTCTTGTGCGTGCTCCGCGCTTGTACGGGTTCAACCAGTGGAGAAACTGTGTTTGTTTGGCGTTTTGACTTAAAGACAGTAGATGTTGAACCAGCCCTAATCTATTCACTAGTTTGTTTAAAGAATTGCGAGTAGAGGTGGCAAATGGATTGGGTTTATTACCGAAGCCATGCTTTGAAACAGACTGAATTTATTTATTCTGTCCTTGATGCTTTGAAACTAGTTGTCTCCTTTTGAAGCCTTCTCCAGTAGTCTGCTGCAGGGACTTCTTTTTTACTTGGATGCATAGCGAATCAAAAGAAGGTTGCTAATAGATCGAAGACCTGATGTCATTTTATCGTGACAAATGAAGCAGCAAGTTTCTAAGCTATTCTGTGTGTGCTTCACTGAAAGAGAGGTGCACGTCTACCATACCCATACATGGACGTCTCTAGAATTTGCTCTTCATCAACAATTTAGTACTTGTAAATTGGTGGCAGAATTCTTCTTCATTGCTGCAGACTTTGATTTTCAGCTGACGTTTATGATAGTAGCCTAGTCTATTTGTCGTGATGGCCTAGCGTTCTGCTGACTTCCTATGACCTTCAATATGAGCCATCTCAGGTTGAAGTTATTGATCTCCTCTCCATTGATCAAGCCAGAGGTATTGAAACTGTCTAGAACTTAGAACAGAAAGTTATTTGGTGGTTTGGTATCACTTATCAGCATTTGATGTCTTTAGCAATTGTGTATTCATACTTGGTGTCTCTAAATATTTCATATTGGTGGATCTCATGTACTTTATGGTGCGAAAACTTACTGTTAGAAACACGTTTTCTAAAGAAAACAGGTTTCTATATCATTATCATTATTATTAGGTTTTATTAAATATGGTTAGTAGTCTTTTAGTTGTATTAGGTTTATTATTAGGGTTTCTCATATTCTCTATAAATATGTATTGTGAGTTAGCGTTACAATCAATCAAGAAAGAATTATCAAAGAATCTCCTAAACCCTAATCTCCCTATCCTCTCAATTCTCGATCTCAATTCCTCTAAAGGTCTAGGCTGATTCTCTTCTGTTCTTTCCCAAATTCTTCTCAAATCCATAAATCCCCAATTATGTTCTCTAAACCCTAAATTCTCAATCTCTAGATCTCATCTGGAAACCCGTTAGAAACTTATTTCTAACATTCGGTATCAGAGCCATGGTCGAAGACCTGAGTTCATCACAACTTTCTCAGGGACAACTTCATACCAAATCGAAGCTGATAAGTTCAACCGATATCGGAGCTGACGTGGGCTCAAAAGCAAGAAAAGATGTGGCAGATTGTGGGCTATTGAAAGGAGAGAGCGGCGCGCGGCGCCGCGGCGAGGAAGGAAGACGAGGGCGCAGCAGGGACGGAGCTGGCGCCGCTCGACGAGGCTGGCCGAGGCGGGGCGGAGGTCGCGCGGCGCGCTGCGGCGTCCAAAGCAGCAGACGGCGGCGCGGGGAACGACTCGCTCGACGGGGCTGGCCGAGGCGAGGAGGAGGCCGCGCTACGCGCGGCGGCGCGGAAGGCAGAGACAGTGAGAGCAGGCGGCGACATTGCTTCCTTACGCTCAAACCCTAGGGTGGCCTCCAACCGCGTAACACCACAGCAGCAGCTTTGTTCGTTGGGCCGAAACCTCCGGGCCGCAGGTCTGAAGAGGCAAAAGGGAGTGGGCCTAGGCGAGGAGATGAAACCCATCATCCTTGGTCATAGGTTGGGCCGCATGAAGAGAGGTGTTGGGCTCTCCTTGGTGCGAAAACAACAGCAGCAGACCACATCACTGGGCCGAGCAAAGCTACGGGGCGGGCTAGCACGAACCGGCCCTAGGCTGCGTACACACAGACAAGCAGAGAGAGGGGCCTCATATAAGCCCTATGGAATCTCTTTTACAAAGTGTAGGCTTGAATATGAAGAAAGAAGAATTTGTGGGCTTAGGTGAGCACCCCAATTCTTACTTGGTGGGTTTTGAAAGGGGGGGGGGGGGGTGTACAGTCAATAGGCCATGCTTACGACGCGAACCACATGGATAAGGAAGAAGTCATTGGAGTTGGAGTTGTTGGCGTGAGATACGTTCGAGTAG